ACGACACGATTTCCCGGTTGGGGGTCTCCGTTCCACTGCGAACTCACCCCGCAACCTCCGATCCACTGCGCCTCGAGTTTTTTTTGTGGAATTCCACAAGCCAAGTCGCCGTGGACATTGACCCACGTCTTGCCCGCAAATGTGCCCACCCCTGTGCACCCACCTCGGTGGCACGGGCCCGAACCGATCGAGGTGCCCCGAAGCTCGGAACTGCCCCGCCCGCTCGCCTCCCCCGTGCCGACTCTGTTGGGCACCCTCCCGTGCTACCCTAGCACCTCCGAGCAACCCCTCCCAAGCAATGCTCGAGGAGGGTTGCTCCGCCCAGCCTTGTCGAGCGATGGCGGAGCAGGCAGAGACCAAGCCCTCCAGGGCGATGGCCCCCTCCTGATGTGGAGGACCTTCCTAAGATCTGACGTTGCACTTGCTCTCTGAGCGTCCCGGGGCCCAAAACAAGGCCTCATCCCCCGTTGCAATAAAATTGCAACGCCAGGATCTGACGGCTCCCGGGGCCCGAAACAAGGCATCATCCCCTTTTTTGATGTCTCGTTCTCTCTCTCTCTCTCTCTCTCTCCCTCCCTCTCGCTTATATGTATATGTAGATATATATACACATATATGTATGTATGTATGGTCTCCCCCTATCATCATACCTTTTCGCCTCCTCATCCTCCACTGCTTCTTTTACTTTCTCCCTCTCTCTCTCTCTCTCTTTTTTTGTTTGTTCTCTCTCTCTCTCTCTGTCTCTCTCTCTATCTCTCCGAAACCATGTGTGTTTCTAGCTTTTCCCAGAGACCCCCCGTTGAAAAGCCATGTGTTTTCCAGCTTTTCCAAATATTCTAGATCTTCCCAGAGACTACCTAAGTGAAGAACCTGGTGTTTCCCAGATTTTTCCAAATATTTCAGATCTTCCCAGGGACTACTCATGTGGAAAACCATGTGTGTTTCCAGACATCCCAGATCTTCCCAGGGACTACCCAAGTGAAAAACCATAGGTGAAAAACCATGTGTTTTCCAGACCTTCCAGATATTCCAGATGTTCCAAGAAAATGCCCAAGTCAAAACCATGTGTTCTCCAGATTTCCTAGGTATTCCAGCTTTTTCCAGAGAGCGCGCTGCAAGCTCACAGTAGTCTCTGGGAATATCTGGAATATCTGGAACATTTGGAAAGCACATGTTTTTTCACCTGGGTGGTCTCTGGCAAGATCTGGGATATCTTGAACATCTAGATTACACAAGGTTTTTCACCTGGGTAGTCTCTGGGAAGAGGCCTGGAGGCCTTTGCGGTCGCCAGGGGCGGTCCCGACACTGCTGATTGCGTGCCAAAGACCTGTCACAGAGCTCAGAGGACGGGGAGGAGAAGGAGGACGAGGACAAGGAGGAGGGGAACGATGAGGACGAGGAGGGGGAGGGGGAGGAGGAGGTTGATGACGAGGAGGAGGAGCAGGAGGAGGACGAGGAAGAGAGGGCGGATGAGAAGGCGGAGGAGGAGGAGGAGGAGGAGGAGGAGGAGGAGGAGGAGGAGGAGGAGGAGGAGCAATAGGCACGAGGGGGAGGTGGGGGGGGTGGGGGTGCCTCCTCCTCCTCTGCGTCGTCGTCCTCCTCCTCCCTCCTCCTCCTCCTCCTCCTCCTCCTCCTCCTCCTTCTGCTCCTCCCCCTCCTTCCCCTGATTCTCCTGCACCTCCTGCTGCTGCTGCTGCTGCTGCTGGTGCTGCTGCTGCAGCTGCTGCTCCTCCTGCTCCTCCTCCTGCTACTCATCCTCCTGCTCCTCCTCTTCCCCCATGCCCTCCCCCATCACCCCCCTCCTCCTCCTCCTCCTCCTTCTCCCCCTCCTGCTCTTGCTCCTCCTCCTGCTCCTACTGCTGCACCTCCTCCTTTGATGCTGCTCCTCCTCCCCTGCCCCTCCTCCTCCTCCTGCTCCCCCTCCTGCTCCTCCTCCTGCTCTTCTTGCTCCTGGACGTGGGGTCGTGGGGCCGCACTCTCGGAGCCGAGGAGGGGTCCAGGGATCGTAGATTCCAGGGGCCGAAGATGGGTCCACAGGCGTCAACGCGGGTCCCCGGAACCAGGGTCCAAAGCCCAGGGTCCAGAATCCATCAAGGGCGGACGAGAAGGAGGAGGACAACGAGGAGGAGGAGGAGGAGGAGGAGGAGGAGGAGGAGGAGGAGGAGGAGGAGGAGGAAGAGGCCAGGGAGATCTGGAATATGTGGAAAACCTGGCAAACACAAGTTTTTTTCACCTGGGTAATCCCTGGGAAGATCTGGAAGATCTGGAACACACATTGTTTTTCATTTGTGTAGTCTCTGCAAATATCTGGAATATCTGGCAAATAGGGAAAACATATGGTTTTTCAATTGGGTAGTCTCTGGGAAAAGGTGGAACAACTGGAAGGCACATATTTTTTCAATGGGGTAGTCTCTCCCTGCAGGAGAGCAGGAGGAGACAGAAAGAGGAAGAGAGGATCTAACTCTCACCCTCTCTCTCTATATCTCTCTTTTTCTAAGTAAGAGAAGAAGAGGAGGGGGAGGGGAAGGAGAGAGATGAGCTCTCCCCGACTCTCTCTCTCTCTCTCTCCTTCTGTCTGCCTGTCTCTCTCGTTTTAACTCAAAGAGGAGGACGAGGAGGAGGGGATGGAGAGAGAGAGAGAGAGAGAGAGAGGAGCTCTCCCCGACACTCTCTCTCTCTCTCTCTTTCTCTGTCTGTCTCTCTCTCTCTGTTCCCCTCCCTCCCCAAAACATATTACAAGGAAGAGGGCGAGCAGCATTTCAGTAGGAAAGGAACAGATCCCAGACCAAGGGGATTTCTATGGATTCCGAATCGGTTTCTTTACATATTTCAATGGAAGCGGAGCAGATCCCAGATCCAGACGATTCCTATTGAACTTGAATAGGGTTCTCTTGCGTTTTTTTTTATGGGAAATGGAAGATCCCAGATCACGAGAATTCAAATTGACTTTGGATGGGATTGTAAGTAAACTTCAATAGAAACGGGGCAGATCCCATACCCAAAATACTCCTCTCTCATGTGGATAGGACCCAAATAGGATTGCAGTAGGAACGGAGCAGATCCCAGATCCAGAGGATTCCTAATGAATTCGAATCAGATCCGAATCGATGTTCAATAGGAACGGAACAGGTCCCAGATCAGAATTCGATTTCAGTAGGAAGAGAGCAGATCGCAGATCCAGAGGATCCCTACTGAATTTGGATCGGATTCTCATCATATTGCCATGGAAACGGAGCAGATCCTAGATCCATAAGATTCCCATTGAACTTGAATCGGTCTCTAATCGGACTTCCACGGACACAGAGCAGATCTCACATCCAGAGGATTCCGCTGATGGGGGGGGGGACGGAAGCAGAAAGAGGTGGAAAGTATCGAAGATGAGGAAGTGAGGAGAGGAGGCGAATAAAGAACATGAGGAAACACATGATGATGAATATTGATGGGAATGATGAAGATGAGGCACATGAGGAGAAAAAATGAGGATTATCCCGGCAAAGCAACCTAACAGCGATGTGTAGGAGCATACCTGGAAGCATTCCCCTGAAGATTCAGATGATAATCCAGTTGTAGAATTCTGCTGTTCTCGCAGTCGTAGTCGCATTCCGATGACAGTCGCAGTGGCAACGGCAGTCGCAGTCACAGCCTGAGCCTCAGCCTGCCTCAGCCTCAGCCTCAGCCTGCCTCAGCCTGAGCCTGCCTCAGCCTCAGCCTCAGCCTGCTTCAGCCTCAGCATCAGTCTGCCTTCAGCCTGCATCAGCCTCAGCCTGCCTCAGCCTCACCCTGCATCAGCCTCAGCCTCAGCCTCAGCCTGCCTCAGCATCAGCCTGCCTCAGCCTCAGCCTCAGCCTGCCTCTGCCTCTGCCTCAGCCTGCTTTAGCCTGAGCCTCAGTCTGCCGTCGGCCTCGGCCTCAGCCTCAGCCTGCCTCAGCCTCAGCCTGCATCAGCCTCAGCCTCAGCCTCAGCCTGCCTCAGCATCAGCCTGCCTCAGCCTCAGCCTCAGCCTGCCTCAGCCTCAGCCTCAGCCTGCTTCAGCCTCAGCCTCAGTCTGCCTTCAGCCTCGGCCTCAGCCTCAGCCTGCCTCAGCCTCAGCCTGCATCAGCCTCAGCCTCAGCCTCAGCCTGCCTCAGCATCAGCCTGCCTCAGCCTCAGCCTCAGCCTGCCTCAGCCTCAGCCTCAGCCTGCTTCAGCCTCAGCCTCAGTCTGCCTTCAGCCTCGGCCTCAGCCTCAGCCTGCCTCAGCCTCAGCCTGCCTCAGCCTCAGCATCAGCCTGCCTCAGCATTCAAAATGTGGCCCGGGAATGGAGTTCTGGGAACTCGAAGAACACGAAGTGGCCTACAGTTGGCTCCGGGCATTCAAAATCATGCCCAGGAAGTGGAGTTCTGGGAACTCGAAGACCACGAAGTGGCCTACAGTTGGCTGCGGGCATTCAAAATCATGCCCAGGAATGGAGTTCTGGGAACTCGAAGACCACGAAGTGGCCTACAGTTGGCTCCGGGCATTCAAAATCATGCCCAGGAATGGAGCTCAGGGAACTCGAAGACCACGAAGTGGCCTACAGTTGGCTCCGGGCATTCAAAATCATGCCCCAGAATGGAGTTCTGGGAACTCGAAGACCACGAAGTACTTTACTGTTGGCTAAAAAGGAGTCTCCGGTTTTTCCCGGCACCCGTCCGGCATCTGCCCAGAACCCCCCTGGGGAGTCATGATGCTCTCTTTTGAGACCACTAGAAACCTATCGGTCTTCGCTGTTAGGTAAAAAGTGTGGAGAATGGGGAGGAGGATGAGGATGATGAGAACGAGGAGGACGGGGAGAAGGATGAGGAGGCGAATGAAGAGGAAGAGGGTACGAGAGGAGGCGAAAGGTATGATGACAAGGGGGGGAGGCAAGCATAGCTATATATACATATATATATATATATACATATATATGTATACTAGAGATGTCAATATATATATATATATATATTATATCACAACGAAGGAGTAGCTCCGCGCAGGGCCTTGCCCGTCGCGCCGTCCTCCGCGTCCGAGCCCTCGAAGTGCGCCGGCGCCGTCGCAGCCTCCGCGGCCGGCTCCGCGGCCGCCTCGGGCTCCGTGGGCTGGATGCCAGGGCTCTGCGCGGCCGGGCGCTCGGGGTCGGCCTCGGCTGCCGTCGACGACGTCTCCTCGGCGCCTTCTCCCCGACCTCCTCCTCCTCCTCCTCCTCCTCCTTGACCTCCTCCTCCTCCTCCTCCTCCTCCCATCGATCTCTTGCTCTTGCTCTTGCTCTTGCTCTTGCTCTTGCTCTTGCTCTTGCTCCTCCTCCTCCTCATCATCCGCCCCCCTGGTGGACATCAGGAGCAGGCGTGAACAGCTCTCTTGCACACAGCGCGGGCTGGACCAGGTGACGATGCTCTACCCCCGAACAGACATCCGACGTCGTGATTTGCGAACGACGTGGCTCCCCAAAGGTCTACATGCTTCTTCCCGTGGGCCGGCTTTTCAGCCTGAGCCGTTGTTTGACGGTCCCAGGGCCAGGTGAAGGGTCCCTGGAGGCCGATGAATGTCAAACACCTCGGGTCGTGTCTTTTGGCGCCGCGAGGATGGCAGGCCCCGTGCAATTACGGCAAGGCTGCCGCGACTGGGGTGGGCCGCAGGCTCCCCCTTGCCCCCCCGCTGGTGGACCTCGCCCTACAGTGTCGGCTCTACCAGATAAGCTCCGCCTCCCTTCGGAAGGCAGGGTGGAAGGAGGGATTCACCGCGGGATTCTCAGAGGCCTCTAGATAGGGTCGAAGGATCGCGCCGCATCGCCAATGCGTCGCCGCTGCATCGGCGATGCGTCGGCGATGCATCGGCGATGTCGGCGACACATCCGTCGGCGCGGATAAAGTCGAGCCCCCCATCGAGCCGCATCGCCGATGCGGCGCGATCCTCCAACCCCATCTACTCGGACCCTGTCTGGGAGGCCTCGAGTCGAGAGGCGGGGTGGAAGGGGGGATCCGCTGGGGGATTTATGGTACCAAGTCCATGGCGTAAGCGTTTGCCTGCGCGGGTCCCCGCGGCACCTGGACAGCGCGCCGCGCGCCGCTGTTGGGAGAGTGCGCGGGGACGGGGCCTGGCGCTGGTCCCAGGAAGCCACGAGGATCTCCGACAGCTCGTGCTCGTTGAGTTCCAGGGGGGTGTCCTGGGGGGTCCGGAGACCCCCCGAGGACACCTCTCTGGAGCTGCACGAAGGCGAAGGCGAAGGCGCCCAGTGCGAAGGCGAAGACGCCCTGGGTGCGAACCTCCCCCGGAAACCTTTGAAAAGGTTCCTCGAAGGGTTCCTGGGTGGTCCAGGGGACCCCCCCCAAAACAATCCGGACCGCGAGGCCCCCCCAAATTACCCTGGCGACGTACCCAACCCCTGCGCAATGCGGGGCAAGATTAGCTTGGGAGATTTGAAAAGAAGGCGGCGACGTGACATGGACACATATACTTCTGCAAGCGGCAGTCGGAATATTCGCAGGTTCCCAATCAAGGGAAAAACGATGAGTAGCTAAGTGAACCCCTGAGTAATTAAGGAAGACGCAAGGTCCAAAAGGAGACTTTAGGCAATGGGCTTGAAACGTCGGTGGGGCAACAACAACATCACATGGCCGCCCAGGACCGGCGAGGTCCCGCTCAGGTCTGCGCAGTGCCTCACTCCGCTGGACCCACCAGCAGCAGCCTTCGAAAGTGGCGAGCCCACCAGCAGCCCTCGAAAGTGGCGACAGTGTCGCTGATCGCAGCCCCCCAGGGACGGCGAGGTCTACCTCAGGTCCGCGCGGTGCCTCAGTCCGCAGGACCCACCAGCAGCCCTCGAAAGTTGCGACAGTGTCGCAGATCGCAGCCCCCCAGGGAAGGTCTACCTCAGATCCCCGCGGTGCCTCAGTCCGCAGGACCCACCAGCAGCCCTCGAAAGTGGCGACAGTGTCGCAGATCGCAGCCCCCCAGGGACGGCGAGGTCTACCTCAGATCCCCGCTGTGCCTCAGTCCGCAGGACCCACCAGCAGCCCTCGAAAGTGGCGACAGTGTCGCAGATCGCAGCCCCCCAGGGACGGCGAGGTCTACCTCAGATCCCCGCGGTGCCTCAGTCCGCAGGACCCACCAGCAGCCCTCGAAAGTGGCGACAGTTTCGCAGATCGCAGCCCCCCAGGGACGGCGAGGTCTACCTCAGATCCCCGCGGTGCCTCAGTCCGCGGGACCCACCAGCAGCCCTCGAAAGTGGCGAAAGATGGCGACAGAGTGTCGCAGATCGCAGCCCCCCAGGGACGGCGCGCACACACACAACACACAACACACAACACACACAACACACACAACACACAACACACAACACACAACACACAACACACAACACACAACACACAACACACAACACACAACACACAACACACACCACACACCACACACCACACACCACACACCACACACCACACACCACACACCACACACCACACACCACACACACACATACGAGGTACGCACAAGACAAGAGGAGACAATACGGAAGCAGGAGACGGGAGGCGGGAGAAGAAGGAGAAGGACGCGACCGCGGTGCTCTATTCAAAACGAATACCCAACCAAGGAGGGTTTGGACAAAAAGATGAGGTCCCTGGGGGGCTCTGGGCGCTGCCCACACCCTGCCGCATCCGCGAGGACTCCCGACGGTCCGTGCTCGTGCAGCTCTGCGCTACTCCAGGGGTGCGGCAGGCCAAGGAGGGGCCGCGCAGGGCGACGCAGCGGGGCGCAAGGGCGAACGCCCGCCTGCGGCGCGCGCTTGCCGACGCCGGTGGAACTCGCTGAGGACCACGCTGTGGTGACGAGCTCAGCTTCCCTGAAGAGCCCCAGGCGAGGAGGAGACCAGTCCAGACCAGACCAGACCAGACCAGACCAGATCAGACCGGGCCAGACCAGACCAGACCAGACAGGACGAGACCCTCGGATGCACGGCGGTGCTGATGTCGAGCCGGCGGCGCTCGGAACGTGTGACGCACGTGGCCGCACATGCACGCAGAGGGGGAGGAGGAGGAGGAAGAGGAGGAGGAGGAGGAGGAGGAGGAGGAGGAGGAGGAGGAGGAGAGGGAGGAGGAGGAGGAGGAGGAGGAGGAGGAGGAGGAGGAGGAGGAGGAGGAGGAGGAGGAGGAGGAGGAGGAGGAGGAGGAGGAGGAGGAGGAGGAGGAGGAGGAACGCAAGGCGCCACGAACGCAACGGCAGGCGGGCGCGCCTGGGTCAACCGGCACGCGCGCGTGCGGGGGAACGGCTGCCCCCCCGCCCCGCGCCGGCAGCGCTTCGGGGAGCCGGCCGGCGGCGGGGAGGGCGAGGGCTGCGGGCCCCTCGGGTGCCCCAGATCTGTTCGACCTCCTCCTCCTCCTCCTCCTCCTCCTCCTCCTCCTCCTCCTCCCTCCTCCTCTCCTCCTCCTCCTCCTCCTCCTCCTCCTCCTCCTCCTCCTCCTCCTCCTCCTCCTCCTCCTCGGCGCGGCTGCTCCTGAAGAGCGCTGGCCACAGCATCCTCGACCTGGCAGAGGTCTGCCAAAACTTCGGAGGGGCGCGCGGACGTGTCGTGCACGAGGTGGACTCGCGCGAGCGCCCATCCCGCGGTTCGACCGCTGGCTCTTCACTGCCCCCAAGAGCCGAAAGAGACTTCCCGACGATCCTTCCTGAATAAGAGCTCTGCCACTGTAGAGTCAGGCCTCTCAAGTGAGGCTGGCGTCTGGCCTCAATGGTACATGTTCCCCCTTCCCGCGTCCTCAGCCTCGTTGCACATCTCCTTGTCGGCTGGCGCTCCCGCTGCCTCTGGGGAATCGAAAACTCGCACTCCTCTCGTGTAATCTTTCCTTGCTTCGTCGCGACCGATCTGAATGACTTCGCGCCATCTTCTCTGACGCGTCGTGCGCCTATTCGTAATTGATTGGGCGTCGCTGTCTGTGTGCAAGCACCTTCCTCCGCCGTATCGTAGTGTGTGTGTGTGTGTGCGTGTGTTGGCCTGGCCAATCGACTCCTGATCGTCACCACGAATACGTTCCTACGATCATTCAATCATTGCGTTGCAACATCACCAAACTGCGGTACCGACTCGACGTCGCTGCACGATTACATGACGTCATGACTCATAATTGTGCCAACGTTGCCACTGCTTGACTATGTTTGAGCTATAGTCGTGCCAACACACAAACTGGTTTCTCTCGTACTGCAACCATATCTTCAGACATGCATCCACCCATCATTTGCATACACCTGTTTCGACATACATGCGCCCAATGTGATTCACAATTTGTGAATGCTTGCTTTGGTTATTTCGCTCTCTCGCTATGATATTCTCCTTCATCTGATTCATGAATAACTCTGTCGCTCTGTCAGTTATCACATGTTGGTGCCATTGATGCGGCAACCTTGGCATGTTGGTTTAGAACTCTAGAGTATTGTAAAAACCGTCGGCACCATGGGCCGCCGTGGAACACTGCGTGCCAATTGGAGCCCGTGTGGAACGTCTGGGCACCCTGGGACACTGCGGGCGCTGCGGGTAACTTGTGTGAAGATTGAAGGGCTGTTGAAACCACGGCCGCTGTGAACATTGTGGCGCATCTTGCAGGCACTGTGAGCACTGTGCGTACTTGGCGGAATAGTGGATTTGAGTTATCCGAATTCCTTGTTGCTACAATGCCTTGATTAGCTATATACAACAATGTGTGTATTGCCAACATTGGCACTGTATCGTTACTCATCTTAGTACCCTCTTACTCGTGATAATACTCCGTGCGTGCGTACATTTGCACCGATCCGTCATACACACATCTATATATATATATATATATATATATATATATATATATATATATCTACACACACACTGCATCCATCACGCGTCGCGCGAGCTTCGCGCGCGCACGAGTTCTACTTGCCTGCATCGGCAATGCATCGGCGATGCAGCGCGATCCTTCGACACAGCCTACTCTGGCGCAATTGGAGAGGTCAGGCATTTCTTGCGGTCGCGATCAAGGAGCCGTAACCAGGCTCAGGCCCAGAGGTGCTAAAGACCCGATTCCAGTAGGGCCGCAGGTCGACAGGTGTGGGCCGACTCCACAAGAAAGGCGTCCTTGGATAATCGCTGGTTCTACCGAAAGGGTGGAGGGGGAAAGGCTTCTTAGAAGGAGGCTGCCTCTTGGAAGGCGCCGGCCCTACATCAATGGACACGGCCCGCGCCTTCTAAGAAGCAGGGGTGCTTCTAACCGGCCTTCCCCCTCCCTTTTCCCCCTCTGCGAGTTCCCGACAAGGGGTAGATGCCAAGCAAACATGATCGGGCAGAGGCTCCAGAAGACGAGGGGCAACAGTGCACTCCTGCTGGCACCCGGCCGCTTTGGCTGTGCCTCTTCTCCGCAGGGGTCTCCTGAAAATGCGCGACAAGGATGCGAGGACCTGGGAAGGCCGTTTCGAAGCTTTCTGGGCGGGGCGCGGCCAGCGGACGTGGCCAAGGATCCCAGACCCCCGACGTCATGATTTTTTCATGACGCGACCCCCAGAGGTCCGGACCCCTTCCCCGGGACCGGTTTTTCATCCTGAGTCGTTTTTTGACGGTCCTGAGGGCCGGTAAGGGCCCCGGGAGGCCGAAAATAGCGAAAAACCCTCCGTCGTGATTTTTTCATGACTCGAGGGGATCTGGGATGGGCCGAGGAGGCGAGGATGCAAGGGCACCCCTTGGGAAGGTTGCCCATCCTTGCCATGCGGGTTGGCGGTGCCCTCATGCTCTTCAGGCGTCTGTGGGGGCTCTCGGGGCGTGGCCGGATCTTTCGTCACCGCAGAGCGCGTGGCAGGCCTCCGCGGGCTCCGCGAGCGCCAGCTCCTCGTGGACCGCGCCGCCCACGACGGCGCCGGGGTCTTCCTGAGGAGGAGGAGGAGGAGGAGGAGGAGGAGGAGGAGGAGGAGGAGGAGGAGGAGGAGGGAGGGATGATGATGATGATGATGATGATGATGATGATGATGATGATGATGAGGAGAGAGGAGGAGGAGAGGAGGAGGAGGAGGACGAGGAGGAGGGAGGGGATGATGATGATGATGATGATGATGATGATGATGATGATGAGGAGGAGGAGGAGGAGGAGGGAGGAGGAGGAGGAGGAGGAGGAGGGAGGAGGAGGAGGAGGAGGAGGAGGAGGAGGACGAGGAGGAGGCCGCCGCGCACGCTGCCGCGCCCCCCCCACTCCCCCAGAAGCGCAGGAGAAGCTCGGTCGGGTGGTGCCGGGGGGCTGACCCACCTGGGGGGGCGAGGACGAGGGGCCCACAGGGGCCTTTCATGGGGCCCCCCCCCCTGCGGAGCCAGCGGGGGGCCCCGGATAGGGGCCCCGAAGGGCCCCTTCGGGGCCCTGTTCTTCACCCCTCATTTGGGTCACCCCCATTGCCACCCGCCAGAGAAGGCCAACTCTGTCATGACCAGAGGCCTCCTGGATGGGGCCGGAGTAGATGGGGTCGGAGAATCGCGCCGCATCGCCGATACATCGGCAATGCATCGGCGATGCATCAGCGATGCATCGGCGATGCACCGCCTATGCATCGTCGTCGGCGATGCATCGGCGACGCCGGCGCGAAGCAATCGGGCTCCACATCGAGCCGCATCGACGATGCGGCGCGATCCTACGACCCATCTGCCACGATCCCATCTAGGAGGCCTGAACCACTGCCACCCGCCCGAGAAGGCAAAGCAAACAACTTCGCCATGGCGCCCTCGGGGCAGGAGGCCCCGAGCAGCCTCCCACAGCTGCGATGGGGGGGCCACGGTGGCGGCCCACGATGTGGGGCCACGACGGGAGGCAGCGAATGGGGGGCAACGGGGCACCGCTGGGGGGCAACGATGGGGGGCAACGTTGCGGGTTCGGTGGCAACTTATGGGAGCCTCCCATACCATCTTGTCCGCTTTTGCGAATCGACGCTAACCGACGCTAAATCGACGTTAAACGACGCTACATCGACGCTATCTCATCGACTCCAGACGCTAATCGGCGCTAGTCGACGCTAAAGACGGAATTGAGAGGCTATACCAGGCTCCCATGATTTGCCACCGAAGAACTATGGGAGGCAATGCCGGGGGGCAACGAGGGGGGACCACGATGAGTCGCCGATCTCGGGGGCCCGGCATGGGGAGGGCACCAAGAGGGAGCAACGATGAACCACCGACATTGGGAGCCCGGGCTCCGTCACCTCGCGTCAGAAACGCTATGCCCGCACATCCGACGATTTGTTTTTCAATGCCCGGTCGAGAGAGGTCCCGACCCCTTCCCCGGGGACAGTTTCTCGTCCCAGATCCGTTCTGATGGCCGCGGGGCCCCAAAGCGGGCCCCCGATGCAGACATCGAAGGGAAAGCGCCGGGATCGACACACATCAGATCCTTAGATACCTGGGTCTAAGCTTCTGCGCGGGGTGGACCAGAACCGGCGCCGCGACACGCTACCGTTAGGTCGGGCCTGTCCCCCTACAGGCGGATTTTGGGCGACAAAAATCAAAGTAGTCAAAACATACTCCCAACATGCCAAAGCATAGTCAAACAAAAATCGTTCCCAGATGATTTTTTTGACCATTTTTGAATGCCCCTCCTGCAGAGGGCCAGGCCCGACATAACGCTGCCCAGCAGCTCCCGACCGTCGACCCGAGGAGCGGCCCGAACACGAGTCGGCTACACGCAAGAGTGACCCTGGGTAAGAGTGACCTTTGGTGCGCGGCTCTTTGGGGGCCGCGGGGGTCCAAACACAAGCGCGCAAGACGCCACTGCCGCCTCGCGCTCGGCGATAGGGGACCCCAGTGGGCCCGCACCAAAGGTCACTCCGGCGAAGGGTCACTCTTACGTGTAGTCGACTCCTGAGCCGCACGTGCTGCGCCGGGTGCACGGCAGGCTCCGACCGAGGGCCGCCGGGCCCCCCCGCGGGGCCCCCGACGAGCCCGGCGGCCCGCGGCCCGCGGCGGAGCGCGAGCCCGCCGCGCGCGCGTGCAGCTGGCGTGGCCGCGAGCGGCCCGTGGCCGCGAGCGGCCTCGGTCCTCGATCCTGGATCCTGGATCCTGGATCTTTGATGCTCGATCCTGGACCCTCGATCCTGGATCCTCGATCTCAGATCCTGGATCCTCGATCTCTGATCCTCGATCCTGGATCCTGGGTCAAGGATCCTGGATCTTTGATCCTCGATCCTCGATGCTTGCCCGTGCGGTGAGGTCTTTGGGACCTCCGAGGTCACCGCCAGGTCCGACACCGCAGCGTGCCAGGGACCCTGACACGCTGCGTTGGAGCGGTTGGAGCAGTTGCAGCGGTTGGAGCAGTTGCACGGTGGCCGCAACCCACTTGCAAGGCACTTGCAAGTGGGTTGCAAGTCCACCTGGCTGCTCCAAATTGGGTCCGCGTCTTACACAGACTTCAAACATTTGGGTGGACTTGCAACTCACTTGCTCGTGCCTTGCAAATGGGTTGCGCCACTTTGCAACTGCTGCAACCGTTACACATCGAACCGGCCACTACAGGGTTGGGGGTACCCACACGGTGCGGTAACGGACCGTGCGGTGACCTCGAAGGTCCCAAAGACCAAAGACCTCACCGCAGGGTCGAGCATCGAACATCGAGGATCAAAGATCGACGACCGAGCATCGAGAATCCGAGATCGAGAGTCTGGGCTGCAAGATTTTGGACTCGGGGCTTCCGACACGGTGCGGTGACAGACCGCGCGGTGACCTCGGGCCCCCCAAGAGGCCTCACGGCACGGCCCGTCCCTGAGGCCCTGGGTGCTGCAGGTTCTTCGCGCGTGGCGCCGCTCTCGGCCTGGTCTCGGGCCCCGGGGCCACTGCCTATCGATCGGCTTCGATCCACGCCGCAGAGAGATGGGGTCCAAGGCTCTGGACGCTGTGACGTCCAATTTCGACTTGGAGGGGAAGGAGGAGGAGGAGGAGGAGGAGGAGGAGGAGGAGGAGGAGGAGGAGGAGGAGGAGGAGGAGGCGGAGGCGGAGGATCTCTGACGATGTCGCAATTTCTCCGTGGCGTCGGAGCTCTCGGTGGCTGCCGCCGCTCGGCTGTCGGGAGGGCCCGGAGGCCCCAGCGCCGCCCGAGGGAGGCGTCCCCTCGGAGAGCGGCCGAAGCTCCAAGGCGGCCGAGCGGCCACTCCGAACCCCGCGGGCTCGCCTCCTTTGGGGCGTCCAAGAGGGGCGTCCAAGAGGGGGGGCGTCCAAGAGGGGGGGGCGTCCAAGAGGCGTCCAAGAGGGGGGGCGTCCAAGAGGGGGGGGGGCGTCCAAGAGGGGGGCGTCCAAGAGGAGGTGGGCGCAGATCGTGGCTGGCGGCACGTGCGCGGCCCAGGGGGAGGGGGGGGGGGGGGGGCGCAGATCGTGGCTGGCGGCACGTGCGCGGCCCAGGGGGAGGGGGGGGGGGCTGGGGACGCATCGAGGTAAGAAGAGGCACGCCGTGGAATCTGGGGAGATCTCATTGCTTCCCCCTCCAGTTGCTTCCCCCCCTCTTGGCCCCCCCCGAGACTCACGGTGTGGTCACCGCACCGCTTGGGGGCCCCAGATTTCTGGAGCCTCCCTGGGACTCCTTGGGGCGGGGAGAGATTTACCTTTGCAGGAGGGCGTTGCGCTCTGGGACCCAGGCAGTCTCACTTGCACGGCACTTCGGCCCCCCCCCTCCTGGGGGCGACGATGGGGGCGAATAGCCCAGAGGAGAGCAATACATGTACCCAAAGGCGCCGACGGTCCATGCCTTCGGCGAGGCTCCTGGGCGATTACGTGCAATGCCGGCCCCTGGGCTATTCGCCCCCGTCGTCGCCCCGGACACTCCTCCGCCGCCTTCTCAAGCGGTGCTGGGCCGCCAAGGCGTGCAGTTGAGTCCCGGCTTTCGCGACGCCCAGATCTCCTGTCGCAGAAGAAAGAAGCGACACAAGCAAAACTTTCGACGGTCCGCGCGGATTTCTTGGATCCGCGCTGGACCCCCTTCCTGGCGCGCGGAGCGCGCCAGGGGCGGCGCCGGAGGCGCCGCCGGGGGGGCCCAGCGCGGATCCAAGAATGGAAGGCAAACAATCCACCCCGAACATAACCACCCCGACACGCGAAGCCGTTTAGTAAACGCGCCCAAAGAAGGAATCAAACAGGGCGGTGCCGCTCAGGAAACGCCCAGGGCCGTTCAGCAAGCGCCCATTGTCCCGTCCGGGTGGCTCTCCTCCCTTGACAGAACTCCGCGCGGAGCGCCAAAAGTTTATGTTTATGGCATCAGAGAAACTATGGATTCAGTTTGTGTCGGGGATTCGGTTTTCTGCTATGCCTGGCGGCCAATAGGGGCCAGACGGATCGCCAGGAGGCGGAGGAGGAGGAGGAGGAGGAGGAGGAGGAGGAGGAGGAGGAGGAGGAGGAGGAGGAGGGGCCATCTGTGGTTGTGGCTCCTCGCGTTTCTCCGGCCTGCCTCTCTCCCCTCCCCCTCCTCCCTCTCTCCCTAAACCCCCCTCCCTCCTCCTCCCCTCGTTTATATTCTTCTTCGACTTCGGGCCTCGCCACGCTCCGCCGCCCCCCCGCGCTCCCTATGCAGGCCGCCTTGCCGGGGGTCTCGAGGAGCACGGCCTCCAGGCGTGAGGCCCCTGCGGTCCGAGGCCTCCAGAGGAGGAGGAGGAGGAGGAGGAGGAGGAGGAGGAGGAGGAGGAGGAGGAGGAGGGGAGGCGGCCTCGGGAGGCCCAGGCAGGGAGCAGGACACGCTCCAGGCCTGCGTCCTCGAGCCTCGGCCCTCCCTCTCGGCCCTGGCCGCGTTGGAGGAGGGGGAGGGGGGGTGCATCAGCGATGCTGCACACACACACACACGCACACGCACACAACACACGCACACGCACAACACACACACACACGCATGCACGCAAACACAAACACACAAACACACAAACACACATACACACGCACACCACACAACCCGCAATACACACACGCACACACGACACACAGCCGCACACACACACACACACGCACAACGCACAACACACAACATACACGCACACACACACGCACACACACACACGCACACACACACACGCGCAAACGCACACACACAAGCAACACCCAACACACACACACACCCACACAGAAGCACACACACGCACAACACAACACACAACACACACACGAAACACACACGCACACACACACACACACGCACAGCACACAACACTCAACACACACATACACACACGAACGCACACACGCACACACACACACACGCACAACACACAACACACACAGGCACACACATACACGCACACGCACACGCACACACAGCACACGCACAGCACACAACGCAACACACACACACACGCACACAGCACACAACATACACACACACGCACGCACGCACGCACATACACACATGCACACGCACACACAGCACACACACAACGCACAACCACACCCACACGCACACACAACATACAACATACACGCACACGCACGCACGCACGCACATACACACAACAACACACACACATACGCACGCACACACACACACACTCGCACACACGCGCGCACACACAACAAACACACCCACACACGCACACACACCCACACACACAACACACACACACACGCACACCACACACCACACAGCATACACACACACGCGCACACACACACGCACAACACACACACCACACAACACTCACACATCACACACACGCGCACACACGCACACACACACACACGCACACGCACCACACTCCCATCCCACGTCACCCTCGTTGGAAGTCCCTGCACGCATTCCTGTAAGAGATCAGAGCCCCATGGGCCTGCCATGCTGGCGAGTTCGCCTCGTTTCGCAAAAGTGCCGCCATCCACCTGTGTAGCCGTTGCACACCCCCGTAGTCTGACAAGACAGGCTCAAGAAACATCATCAACATCATCATCGTAGTCTGACAGAGCAAGCTCAAGAAACACCAGGCGATCTCTCCGTGTGGAAAAGGGGTCACCCTCCATCCTTGTGACTGTTGGGCGCTGCAGCGAATGTGTGTGCGGCGGCAATTCGAGAGAGGCATTCTGAAGACCGGCCGCCCTCCATCCGAATACTGGAACTTTCAAGCTTCAAATACATACGTGGTGGAAGTTTGAGGATGGAGAAGACAAGAAGCAGCAGGGATGAGGGAGGATGAGAAGGGAGGCAGAGAAGGGAGGAGAAGGGGGAGGTGGAGAGGGTGGAGGATAAAGGATGAGGATGCAGAAGGTGGGAAGAGGAGGAGGAGGAGGGCGACGAGGATAATGGGGACGCTCTAAGGTTTCAATGAGGATGTAATGCTTCAAGGGTCCTTGATGTTGTGAGGGTCCTTGGAGGCTTCAGGCGGCCACTGGACTGGAGATTATCGAGTCTCCTAGGGAGGCCAGGAGGAGCAACATCACCGAACCTACCCCCCCACAGCATCGGGTCTCTCTAGTTAATATCATCAACTCTCTCCATCTCTGTCACAATCTCTCCCTCTCTCTCTTTCGCTGCTCCCTCTGACGGTCACTTTGTGCTGGTTCACAATTGCGTTGCCACACCGTCGTGTCTTGCCACACCGTCTTTGCTCTGTCGGCTCCTGGGGATACGAGATTGCCGCCGTGTCTGCTCGGACCCCCCCCTTCCGTCTCCCAGTCCTTCAGCTTCTCTGGCTGCTTGGCCGCGTCGCTGTGGCGAGCGGAGAAGAAGAGCCCAGAGAAGCAGCTGAAGCACGCCTCTGTGTGGGGAAACCCAACGCGAACACTCGTCAATGCAGATCGGCTGAGCTAGCTCGGCCTGCTGGGAAGGACAAGGCGTGTGGGATGATTGACTGCCCCCCCATCCCCGTTCTCCTTCCCCAAAAGTGCCCAGCTGGGCCCTGAGATGCCCCAACATTACCTGCCCAACGTTGGGAATCGGCACGTGGCTCCACTTCGCCATTCCGCAACAAAAACACAACACGTCGCGTTACTATCTCTTGGAGGCGCATCTCTTGCTTCCGCCAACTTCCGCTGGCCTTCCGTCGAAGAAGAGATGCATGAGAGCCCATAATCGAATCGATCGGTTGGATCGGCGATCGTAAGGAATTGGTTCGGCGGATATCGGCAGCCAAGTCGGGAGAAGTCGAATTTGCGGACATCGGCAGGCTAGTGGGCTAGTAAAGCCCCTATGGAGAAACCAAATCCGAATCGGAATCCGAAGTCGAATCGAATTGGAATCGGTCGCCATCGACAGCGAATCGAACCGAATCGGAAGAGTCGACTGTGCCCCGCGAGCGGATGGCGTGTCGATCCGCTCCGCTCCGCAGGAGTCTGGGAAAGGCTCGGGACGCCGACTCTTGACTGGGGCGCGGTTCGCGTGTCGCGCCGAGGTTCGGTGGGCTAGGATTGGCGGTGCGACACGCTAAGTCAAACATCCTGACCGTAGGTGTGAACGCGTTCCAGTCTAAACATCAAGTTGTGCTACCATCGATTCCTATGTTGTGGGAGGGGTTGTTGGCATGGGAGTGGCCCGCTGCCCTGTTCGACTCGGCCAACCTGATCCTTGCTCTCACTTTTACTCCCATGCTCCTCCTCCTTCTTCTCCTTCTCCTCCTCCTCCTCCTCCTCCTCCTTCTCTTCGTCCTCCTCCTCCTCCCCCCGATCCCTCTCCTCCTTCTCCTCCTTCTCCTCCTTCCCTCTGCTGCAGCTGACGCTCCTCCTCTTGCCCTGTCCTTTCGCCTCTCCTGCTGCTGCTCCTCCTGCTGCTCCTCCTTCTCGTTCCTCCGCCCTGCCTCGCGTAATTATGCGTGTGTGTGTGTGTGTGTGTGTTTTTGATGGGGGGGATTGCCCACTACGTGCCGTGATCCTGATCCGCCTCTGTGCCCAGATGCCATACTGGCAGAAGCCTCCTCCCACGGCAAACGCAGCTCGGCACACGCAGAGAACACCAAACCAATCGAGCCTGGGCGAGACAAGACCACCTAATTTGTCTCTGCGCGTGCTGGGTTCACTCCACGATGGCTCGCAGACTGCAACTTTCAATTCCCCGGCGCACCATCTCTTCCAACAAGCGCGGGAGCCGAAATACTGTGGGGAGCAACAGGCACTTCTGACCTTGAGCGTCAACTAGTTAAGCTCGAGCCAAGATGGGTGCGGACATGCTTGCGTCGACTGGCAGGCTGGCGCGGAAGACGTCATGTGATCAGGCGACGAGCCCAGGGGGGAAATGAGAAGGAGAAGGCCTTCTCAGAAGGCCGCGGGACTTCTTAGAAGTCCGGGGGGCTTCTGAGACGTTTCCTTGGCCTATTTCGAATACAGACAGAACTTCTCAGAAGCCCTCTCAGAAGTCCAGAAACTTCTCAGAAGCCTCGGAAGCCCCGCCCCTTCTCATTTCCCCCCCGCGCCCGCCGCCGAGTGATAGGTGCTTCGCATGTGCGGCTTGGTTGCCGCTCCCCCCGATCCCTCGAGGCAAACCACTGGCACGTCACATTGCGGGCAGAGCCTGCTCGGCCTTGAACAAACCTGCCGATCCGTCTGCACAAGTGGCAACAGACTCACAATGACACCGCTGGGCTGTCACCGGCCCGGTAGAATACCACCGCTCCAGTCCGTACTCGCGCACACACGCATACACGCGAGCACACACACATAGCCCAGCGCACAAACAATCACGCAAGCACGCACACGCAGACATGAACTCTTGCACTGACACTCCAACTCCCTCATGCTGATCCACTTGTCTTTTCGCTTGAGCTTGAGAATCGTATTCTTTGTGTACGATTGCAAATGTGTTTATGATGTGCAGATGCAAGTATTCTCGCACTCGCACGTTCACTGGCACATTATGCTTGCGCTTGCAGTCGCTCTCGGAAATCCTTGGCGCCCCATCGGAGCGCCCAGCCGTGGCGGCGAGAGAGCCTCCACAAACCCACGACATCCCCCAAAAACGAAGACGACGGAGGCGCCCGACATACGCTCAACATCTGTCCTTGACCCATGTTGGGCAACGTTTCACCCTGGATCGACTTCTGACCACCCTGGCGCGCGAAGCGGGCCCCCCCAAGGGCTAAAAGTGCACAAAAAACTTCCGGCGCGTTCCTTGGCGCCGTCTTCTTCGCACCCTGAGCCTCGGAAGACCAGCCGATCGACGAGCTCAGTTCGCGCTCGCTCGACGCGACGACGACGATGACCTGCGCGCCGCCGACATCTGGCCACCGCCGGCTGCGGCACCCTTCCCTGGGGTGCGCGGGAGGAAGAGGCGGAGGAGGAGGAGGAGGAGGATAACGATGAGGATAATGATGATGATGAGGATGACAATGATGACAATGATGACAATGATGATGATGATGATGATGATGATGATGATGATGATGATGATGATGATGATGGTTGTGATATTGGTTGTGGTGATACTTATGATTACGGTGGTGATGATGATAGAAAATGGAACTGCTGCTGATGATGATGATGGTTATGCTGATGATGACGGCGATGGCGATAGCTATGGCGATGATGATGAAACTGATGATGGTACTGATGATGGTGAGGATGCAGATGATGATGATTACTATGATGATGCTACCGGTAATGATAATGATGGTTGCTGGTGGTAATAATGGTCATGATGATGAATCCGACGCTGAGGATGATGATGGTAATGCTGATAATGCTGATGATGGTGATGCTGATACTGATGATGCTGATACTGATGATGGTGATGATGGAGACGACGATGATGATAGCGATAACGATGGCGATTGTGATGGCGATGATGATGCTGTTGATGATGCTGATGCTGACTATGATGACAATGATGGTTATGGTGTTTATGATGAGGATTCTGAGGACGATGCTGAGGATGCTTATGATGATGCTGCTGATGATGATGCTGATGCTGATGATGATGCTGATGATGATGCCGCTTATGATGATTATGCGGGTGCTGATGAGGATCATGACGCTGTCGATGGGAATTAGGACGATGCTGATGACCATGGCGATGATGGCAATGCTGATAATGCTGATGATGATGTCGATGATGACGACGCTGATGTTGACGATGCTGCTGATGATGATGCGGATGCTGCTGCTGATGAGGATGCTGTTGTTGATGCTGGTGCTGGTGCTGGTGCTATTGATGATGATGATGATGATGATGATGATGATGACGAGGATGATCATGCTGATGTTGTTGATGAGGATGCTGATGATGCTGATGCTGCTGAAATAATGCTGCTGCTGATGATGATGACGCTGCTGCTGTTGCTGAGTATAATGATGATGCTGACGATGAGCATGAATACTGTGAAGCTGATGATGATAAGAGGACTAACGGGAGGAAGAAGCGGAGGAGCAGGAAGAGGAAGCTGTCTTGTCTGTTTTGTTATGGTAAGGAGTCTGGAGATTATGCGACGTTTGTTCCGCTCATGTTGCCCTTGGACCCCCTCGCAAGTGCCCTCTTCCCACAAGCTCGATTGCGGCCGTGGGGTGTTCTGGTGCCACGGCTGTGGGGGAAGGGGGGGCCCCTGCTCGGGGGACGTTCCCGACATTGAGCAAGCAATGCGTCCCACGCCTCGCGGCCCATGGGGAGAGAGTGGTCTCCCGTCCCTCAGCGGGGAAGCCCACCCCCTCCCAGACTTGCAAGCTTGGTCTGGCGGAGTCTGGCTCCTCGAGGCCGCCTCCCGCCGAACTGCTGGCGGAGGGATGGCACCCCCGCCAGTAGCTGCAGCACATCTCCTCGGATGAAGGCGGCCCTGAGAATTGCCCCGCCCTTCTTCGAAGGCCCTCATTGGAGCCTCCTCCGCAGCCAAGTCAGATGCACGAGGGGGAAGGAGAGCAGAATGAGGATGAAGCGGCGGAGGAGGAAGAGGAGGAGGAGGAGGAGGAGAAAGAGGATGAGGAGGAGGAGGAGGAGGAGGGGGAGGATGATGACGAGGACGAGGAAGACGAGGATGAGAGGGAGGACGAGGAGGAAGAGGAGGAGGACGAGAGGGAGGGAGAGGGAGGAG